TTTTGAAGAGACGGGGTTTCACCATGTTGGCCAGGATGGTCTCGATCTTCTGACTTTGTGATCCGCCCGCCTTGGCCTCTCAAAGTGCTGGGATTACAGGCGTGAGCCACTGCGCCCAGCCATTTTTTTTTTTTTTTTTAACTTTAAAAGTTAATACTTTTTGGACATTGCAGAGCAGTTTGAATTTTTTTTTTTTAGTTGCTGTTGTTGAGATGGAGTCTTGCTCTGTTGCCCAGGCTGGAGTGCAGTGGCATGAACTCGGCTCACTGTAGCCTCCACCTCCTGGGTTCAAGTAATTCTCATGGCTCACCCTCCTGAGTAGTTGGGACCACAGGCGCCCACTATCATGCTCGGCTAAGTTTTTTGTATTTTTAGTAAAGACAGGTTTCACTATGTTGGCCAGACTGGTCTCCAACTCCTGATATCATGATCACCTGCCTTGACTTCCCAAAAAGTGCTGGGACTACAAGTGTGAGTCACCGTGCCCAGCCTATTTATTTATTTTAGAGATAGGATCTGGCTATGTGGCCCAGGCTGAAGTGCAGTGTCTATTCACAGGCAAGATCCCATGGCTGATTGACACAGGAGTTGTGAGCCCTCTGTTTCTTAGCTGGGGTGGTTCATCTCTCCTTCGGCAACTTGGTGGTCTCTGCTCCTGGGAGGTCCCAAATTGGTGCTGAACTTAGTGAAAGCGCAGGTACCTGGCATACCACACTACAACCCGGAACTCCTGGGCTCCAGCGATCCTCCTGCCTCACCCTCTGGAGTAGCTGGGACTACAGCCACAGCACCCAGCAACATTTCTGTTTGCAGCTGGGTTGAGGACCTATTCCCCAATATGCAACTTTGCTGAAAAGGCCCTTGCTGACATGAAGATTTTACACATTTATTAATATGTTGCTGGTATGCTCAAGGCACTTGTGGAGGTGGGGGGTACTGAGGCCCCTGAGGGCACAGCAGACCAACTCGTGATCTTGGATCAGAACGTTGGGGATATTAGAGGTACTATTCAAGATGTTAGGAGGGCCGGGTGCTTTGAGAGGCTGACACTGGAGGGCAGGAGTTCAAGACCAGCCCAGGGACCATAGAGACACCCCATGTCTACAAAACATTTAAAAAACATTTCCTGGGCATGATGGTGAATGCCTATAGTACCAGCTACTCGGGGGACTGAGGGAGGATCCGTTGAGCCCAGGAGTTCGAGGCACTATGATGGTGCCACTGCACTCCAGCCCGGGTGACACGGTGAGTCCAAGAACAAAAAATGTGGGCTGGGCGAGGTAGCTCACACTTGTAATCCCAGCACTTTGGGAGGCTGAGGTGGGTGGATCACTAGGTCAGGAATTCAAGACCAACCTGGCCAACACAGCAAAACCCCATCTCTACTAAAATACAGAAATTAGCTGGGTGTGGTGGCAGGTGCCTGTAATCCCAGCTACTCAGGAGGCTGAGGCAGGAGAATCGCTTAAACTTGGGAGGCGGAGATTGCAGTGAGCCACAATCACACCACTGCACTCCAGCCTGGGGGACAGTGAGACTCTCTTAAAAAAAAAAAAAAATTTAAAAACAAATATGTGAGGAAGAATTTGCCAGGGATATTTTTTTCCTTCTGTTTTTTGCTGAGGTAAGATTATATCTGTGGATGATGCCACTCAAGGTACCAAGGACAACCCTTCAGCATGGGGGCTGGGGCACCTTATGTTTCAGCATCTGAGACAATGCCTTCCTTCTTCCTGTCCTCTCCTTCCCTCTCTCTATTTCTGAGACAAGGTCTTGCTCTGTTGCCTAAGCTGGAGTGCAGTGGCGTGATCCTATGGCTCACTGCAGCCTTGAACTCCCGGGCTCAATCGATTCTCCTGCCTTGGCCTCCCTAAGAGCCGGGACAAGCAGGAGCCACCAAGCCCAGCTCTGCCCCTACTTTGGCAAGACGTGGGTAGAGCACCCTCTTGCGGCGAAGGGAGGAAGGGGGCTGAATGTGCTCTGGGCCTGGCTGGAGGGTTCTAGGTCGCAGCAGGGCCTCCTCCTTGGCCTGAAAGGGGCGGGGCCTGCCAGGGAGTGCCTTGCGGGAAGGGAGGGCAAAGGGCCATGTCTTTCACTTGCCCCACCCGGCTGCCAAGAGTTCCAGTCACCAGGCCACCCCGAGTCTGGGCCCTTGAGGGTAAGTGTTCTTCTGAACCCAGCTGCCTCGTCCTTCCCTGATGATGGGGTGAGAATTCGTTTGCTTCTTGGGGGTCCAAATATCCTGCCCACCCTACTCGCATGGAGGCCAGGCAGGGGCGACACCTGCCACCTCCTCTTCCTTTCCATAGGTCGAGACTGGGAGACTGGGGCAGCAACCTGGGGCAGGAACAGGACACCTCAACCCCTTCCCCACCTGACATCAGCATCAAAGTCAAGGCCAGGGCAGCAGGGCCCAGAGCGGGACACCTCTTCCAGAAAAGACTTGATCGTCGCCTCCTCCACTGTCACCCTGCGCCACAGCCCAGAGTCCCAGGCTGCTGGAGCACTGGGGGACACCCAGACAGAGCCTTCCCTGGACCAAGTCCTCCAGGAGCGGGATGAAGCCATTGCCAAGTAAGAGGAAGCTGCTTTTGTGGGATGGGAGGGGAGGTGGGGGCTCCCCTGCAGGGGCTTCCTTCCCTCCTCTCCTTCCCCTCCCTCTTTTTTCGAGACAAGGTCTTGCTCTGCTGCCTAGGCTGGAGTGCTGTGGTGTGATCCTATGGCTCACTGCAGCCTTGAACTCCTGGGCTCAATAGATCCTCCTGCTTCGGCCTCCTTTAGTAATGGGATGACAGGCAGGAGCCACAGTGCCCGGCTCTGCTTTCACCTTTCACAAGACGTGGGTGGAGCACCCTCTTACGGTGAAGGGAGGAAGGGAGCTGAGTGTGCTCTGGACCTGGGAAGGTGAGGGGACTGGTCAGGCATTCTGGAAGGAAAGCCACACAAGCAGCAGCCCTACCACTGAGGCAGGGGCTGTGGCCACACCTGCCCACACCCAGGGGTGTGCCACAGGGTCCACGCCTCAGCTATTCTCTCTCCTACCCACAGGAAGCGGGCAGTGGAGGCGGAGCTGCACACGTGCAAAGCCCGGCTGCATGCCGTAGAGGCTCAGCTGCTGGAGGTCCTGGAGGAGAAACTGAGGCTGAGGCGGGAGCTGGAGGCCTGGGAGGTAGGGGGAATGCTGTCAGAGCCTGGGAGGTGTGGGAAAGAGGGCACGGACATGGCCTTGAACCTGCTTTCCTGCCCACAGGAAGACATGCAGCGACTGGTGTGGCAACAGGTCCAGAATCAGCTGCAGAAAGAGGCTGAGGGCACTCGGGGAGCCCACGTGGACCCTGGAGCTGCCAGGACCCCCTGGTCTAGATTCTCCCTGGGTCGGGGACGTTGGTGGTGACACAGACCTCAGCCCAGGACTGTGGGAGTAGTGTCTTTATTCATTAAAGCCTGAGGTCTGACCACCCCTGTAAACCTGTGTCCACTCAGTGCCCGTCTGAGTCCTTCTGTGCCCAAATGTGGAGCAGGCTGCAGGGACTTGAAGCCTGGGGTTTTGTGCCTCCTCTTGTTTTTTTTTGTTTTTTTTTTTTTTTTTGAGACAAAGCCTCGCTCGCTTGCCCAGGCTGAAGTGCAGAGGCATGATCTCGGCTCACCACAACCTCTGCCTCCTGGGTTCAAGTGAT